ATAACGACCCGATTTTCGAGGCTTCGAAAAATCGAATCGTGACTAAAAAGACGAAATCGAAAACAAATAAAAATTTAAAAGAAATAAAATAGGGGATGAAAATCTGATAAAATTTAAATCAAGAAAAATGAGTCAACGACACCAAAATTAAATACAAAATTAAAGTCAAATATTACAAGGGGAAATACAATTATGAAAGAAAAATACAAAAGATTCTAAAAGACCGAGAAGGGACTGACGCTCCGGAACGACACCCCTATGTGATAGTGCAGCTCTTGAACACCTCCCCACCTCCGACTGGTACCTGAAAAAAAGAAGGGGAAACGGGATGAGTATAAAAATATACTCAGTAAGCAACCTACTTGTAGGCTCGTAATCGCATCCAAGTTAAGGAGAAAACCACCAACTACTCTAGACCCTAGAGTCTCAGTACTCTCAGTACACAGTTCAGGGCGGAAGGACTTAACTTTTAAAGCGGTATTCAACGTCTGAGGATGGGGTGCTCCCTCGTATCTTCCTGTACCACTCGTACAACCCAGCTAGAATTAGTCACTGCATGATCAACATCCTTCCACACGACGGACCCATCATGCAAGCGACCTTGACCCACTCGCGTGATCAACATCTTACCATGAGACGGATCCCCATGCAGAGTAGTCGATCTACCACTGAGTAACACTTCCCAAACAGGCGTCTCGCCAAGCTCAACAGTACCACACCGGAGTAGGAAGGGAAGAGTAACACCTCCCTAATTGGCGTCTCGCCTAGCTCAACGGTACCACACCGAAGTAGGAAGGGAAGAGTAACATCTCCCTAATTGGCCTTTCGCCTAGCTCAACAGTAACACACTAGAGTAGGAAGGGGAGGGTAACATCTCCCTAACTAGCGTCTCGCCTAGCTCAACTGTACCACACCGGAGTAGGAAGGGAAGCGGAGCATACTCGAACGCTATACCAGATACTGTCAACTAAGAGGTCATCTCTCTACACTTCGGGGGCCTAATGTGGTTCTCTATATCTCAAGGGTAGTTAAAACTATTGAGTTAGGGGACTTGGCTTCCATATTCACTCAATCAAGACTTCCAAGTCCATAATAGTCTAGGGTTAAAGGGTCTCTCCCTCTAAGCGTCGCTCACGACACCATAAACTGTAACATCAGGAGGGTCCCCTCACTAAACCCAACTCAATCCCTGCAAGAGTTCACCTTAGGTATATCACAACACTACAACTTATCAATCATATATTAAGTTCACACAATCATTCAACAGAAGTTTATGTATTATTAACAACACATACAGCCATACAAGCTCAACGGGGAGATATCTTCCATCAACACCCGTAGCGCAGATACACAAATCCTCCAGTCCACCAACATCGTATGAATAGATAAAAGCAATAGAAAGATAGTCCAGCAAGCATATAAACATTGAGTACGAAATCTCATAAAGGCAGCAAGTTCAATAGATATATATATTTAACTTCATAAGTATAGAGAATCATTAGATTTAGCCATCTAGGGATAATTTGCTTTAGCATGCATGCAAAACCAAGTGCACCCTACACGTATTACTTCCTAAATTCGTGTGGTTACTTAACCAATCAAATATGTTAGGATTTTAGTATAACATCAATTCTTACAGAGGGTGAGTATAGACAGTCAACTATCCCTTTTAGAAACTTATAAATGTTTTTTTGATTAGAAGTTCAACTATATATATATATATATATATATATATATATATATATATATATATATATTTATTTATTTATTTATTTATTTATTTATTTATTTATTTATTTATTTATTTATTTGGTGTCGTGGGACACACCATCTGAATAATTGTTTTTTGGGTTCTACTTTCTCTTTCGAGTAGGGTTGGGTGAACCCACTAGGTGGGCTCGTTAACATATTCCCTAAGTTTGAGTATGGGCTAGCAGACGCTCATGCTTCTAAAAACCAACAAAAAAGAGGAGAACACGAATAATATCGAGGTATATGTATTCGTTCATAACATGTTAGAGAACTAATTCATAATCATATGACATACAACAGGCACGAAATCTCAAAATAAAAATCATGGTTCAATGAGATGTGCATATAATACTTCCATACTTATCATGAAATTACAATGAGGGTCACTTGACAATTTTAAAATATATAAAGAATGTTCTAGTTCATGCAATGTTCGGGCACCTCACGCTTGCGCTTCCTTTTTTCTTTAGGTCTTCGGCATATTGTGCACTTACGACTTCATTCCCAGACGTCTTTTCTTTTTCCAGAGATGTTTAATTAAGAGGAAAAGATAGAAAGAACACAAGAGACCATATTTCATACCAAAATTTGGAAACCGACAAAGAATCTAGTGTTTTAAGTAATTAAAAGACAGTACTAAATAGTTAACATCTCTACCATTTCAAAGCAAATAAAACAAATGAATTTTTGGCTTTATTTAAAAGTCAAAAGATTAATTAATATATAATTCTAAATTCCAAATTCCAAATTTGATGGATTATCTAAGTTTTATTTTTAAAAATTGTTTCCCTTTAATTATTTATCCTTTCCGTAGCAATTCACAATTCGTTATTAAATTTAGAAAATAATATTTTTATATCAAATTTGAATTTTTAAAAAGAAATCCAAAAATATTAATAAATATAGTATTTCTTCTTATATTATATTATTTTGCATTATATCACTTTAAATCTTAATTTTAATTGGAAACAATAAGATTTCATCTATTTCTTTTCTATTTTTTTTTTTGGTGAAATAATTTTTTTGATCACTTTTTTTAATATGGAAGCTCTTTATGGTTGAAGCTCTATCAATATTCTGTCGGTGGAAGTTGAAGCGACCAATTTCAATCCCCAACAACTTCTCCAAATTCGGTTGAATTCATCTAACTCACATTAATGGCCCAAGTCATTTGCAGTCACTTCCTAAAGATGAAAACTACAATTCATTGTTGGTGAGACAACAAGAATCCCGAAAGTTTTTTTTCCCTAACTTATCAATTTCCTCTAAAAGAACTTTGACGATGACAATATGCAACCTTGCTACAATTCTTATCAACCAAGTTTTGAAGATACGATTACCCCATTCTTGATGCTAAAATTATCACAGACGAGATAAGAAACGAGTGGAGAATAATAAAATAAACTGCATATATTAGATGGGGTTGGAAACATTTTTCCTCGAACAATTACACTGAAATTATGGAATGTTGCAACCTGTCAGGTGAGCTCGTTCATGGTTGATAGTGAAGACCCAATGGTTCCTACGAGCAAATCACCAAATTATCAATTTTATTTCCATGGTTTATCCTCTATAATTCTTATTCTTAGAAGTTGTGTTTGGCAGTATACATAAAAAAAAATTATCAATTTTACTCAACTAATTTTTCTTTTAATTCTATTAACAATTATCTTTAGCCAATTTTAATGAACAAACTTCGGTTTTTTTTTTTACCTCACTTTTAATTCTTTTGCAATTATCTTTGAACAATTTTAATCTATTCTTTTTTTTTATCTGCTTTTAATGATCTTCCCAATAATCTTTACCCAATTTTAATAGATTTTTTTTTTCTATTTTAATGTTGTTGATCATGATTTTCTAAAAAGATTGTAAAAATTTTAAATAATTGAAAAGGAATAAAAGAGATGGAAGATCTAATAAACTTTTATCTCTCTCTTTCTTTATTTTTTCTTGTGGTGATCATTATGTTGTTGGAGAAGATGTTGTAATAAAATAAAATAAAAGTGAATTTTGAACTTAAAATTCTAGTTTTTATTTTTAACTTTTAATTAGATGGAAATTGTAAAAAAAAAAAAAAAAAAAA